TAAGATGGTGGACTTTAAGGCTGTGATCGAGTCAAGTGCAAGAAATTCAAGTGATCTTGCATGAAATTCGAAATTTGAAGGAATGATCTTGAGTGAAACCTTCCAAGTGGCTGCTATTATTGAAAAGCTACCTCCTGGGTGGAAGGATTTCAAAAACTATCTCAAGCACAAGCGAAAGGAAATGAACATGGAAGAGCTGATTGTTAGACTTCGAATCGAAGAAGACAATAGAAGATCGAACGCAAAGGGTTCAATCCTAATACAGCTAAGGCAAATGTTGTGGAGCTTAGACAAGGCCACAAGAACAAGAAGATTGCCAAGCCAAAGGTGGGGCCAAAGGAGGAGTTTCAAGAACAAGTTTCAAGGAAAATGCTTCAATTGTGGTAAAATGGGGCATAGATCTATGGAATGCGGACTTAGAAGAAGAAGAATTATGAGACAAATATGGTGAATGGCATCGCTCAAGGCGTGTCAAACATAAACCTTTCTACAATGGTTTACGAGTAAACTTAGTTGGGTCCAATCCGAAAGAATGGTGGATTAACTTGGTGCCACTAGGCACATATGCTTTAACAAGGAACTATTCACAAATCTTGAACCAATTAATGGGGAAAAGGTTTTTATGGGAAACTCGCCTCTTCTTGCATCGAAGGCCAAGGGAAAGTGTTCTTTGAAGATGACCTACGGAAAAGAGGCGACTCTAAACAATGTCTGTATGTGCGAGAAATTCGAAAGAACTGGTTTTCGGGTCTCTGTTGAACAAGCATGAATTTCGTATGGTGTTTGAGTCGAGATAAAGTTATTTTGTCTAAATCCGGAATGTATGTGGGGAAGGATATGTAAGCGATGGGCTTTTTAAGCTCAATGTAATGACAATTATCAATAAAGATAATAAGTCTTCCGTTTATTTACTTGAGTCTTCCAATTTATGGCATGGTAGACTAGGACACGTTAATTATGATACATTGCGTAGATTAATTAACTTGGAACATATACCTTCATTTCAAATTGATTCAAAACATAAATGTGAAATTTGTGTTGAGGCAAAATTAACGAGATCATCATTTCAAACAATTGAAAGAAACCGAACCCCTTGAATTAATTCATAGTGATGTTTGCGATTTGAAATTCATTCAAGCGAGAGGTGGTAATAAATATTTTATTACTTTTATTGATGATAACACCAATATCTTGCTATGTGTATTTGCTTAAAAGCAAAGACGAAGCCTTAGAGAAATTTGTTCTCTATAAGAATGAAGTTGAAAATCAACTCAATAAGAAAATTAAAAGATTGAGAAGTGATAGAGGTGGCGAGTATGAAGTACCAATTGGTGAATTAAATGCACAACACGGAATTATACATGAAATAGCTGCGCCTTACTCTCCTCAATCAAATGGTGTTGCTGAACGTAAAAATCGCACATTGAAAGAAATGATGAACGCGATATTACTAAATTCAGGTTTGCCTCAAAATATATGGGGAGAAGCTATATTGTCAATCAATTACCTTTTAAATAAGGTACCTCGAAAGAAAGAGGATAAAACCCCTTATGAAGAAAACGAGGACGTCGATCTGCTTAGATGGACCCGTTTGTAGAAGGTGAGCGGACCATTCTAGATGCGAGCCTCTACAGTAAGACTCGGATCTTTATGAATTTGAGTTGAACTCAAATTGGCGTTTCACAGTCGTCTGTAAGGATTGAAATCCGCCTAAAGCAAATCGAAGTATATGAAAATGGTTTTTGCGATATTTGTGAAAGCAAAAGAGGCGTCATACTGCAGAAGTAAATAGTTCTACTTTTAGAAATAGCATTCGATGCCCATAGACAACGTCTTGATTGTGCAGAAAGTAGCTATGACGGTCAAAGGTGGTCAGAACAATCGATCTTTTGACTAGGAAAGCTTCCGACTGATACTTTGAAGCTTGAAAGTCTATTTAAACAGATCAAAGTGGCTTGTTGAATTGGCGAAGTTTAAGAACTCTCTCTCTCTCTCTCTCTCTCTCTCGCATTACCTTAATTGACTACGTAAAGTCAAGGGATAATATGGATGCGGATCCGTAACAAAGGGTTAAAACAGAGAGTTAGTTGAGAAATCGACAAGAGGAATGGGAGCTGAAGCCCATGAAAGAATAAGTTGATATAAAAGGAAACCCAACCTAGTAGGAATACTTGTCTCAATCTAATTCCCCCATACCTCGCGTGACAACTTGTAATTTGGAAAGAAAGTAATATGATATCGTGAGAGGTGCTTCAGTTTGTAGAAGCAACTAATGAAACTTTATGTAAAAGCAACACTCTTTACTAATTATAACATGGGTTCATTTACATAAGAAAGCTGGACAGTTCGGGACATCATGTCTCTTGGACAACTAGTAAAGTAAATATACTTTCACAAGGGAAGGTTCAAAGGGTAATACCCACCTATCCTATGCGGGTTTCAATTGTTGAACACTATCACAGAGTCAAAACTAAAACAATTTTCATTCATGTGGGGATTGTTGGAAATATGGGATAAATTGATGGGTGAATGAATGAGAAATTGATGCTCAAAGAACACCCCGAGTTGGAAGTGGGATGTGGAAAATACTAGTCCCACATCGGAAAAGAAAGAAGACTATGGAGTCTTTATATACGATTACACTTATTTGAAGTGGTAACTATCATAGCACAAACTCTGCGCCTCGCGCGCGGCGCAAGGGGTGCAAATCCGACGCCCGACAAAGCTGAAACTTGGGCGTGAGCGCACATCCAGCGTACACGATTGCGGGACCAGAAAAGTGGGCCTCGTGCGAGCCCAATTTTGCCTTCGATTTATTTTTTCTTTTAACTCAAACGAGTTACGAATTTCATAACGTGCGACATTTAATCAGCCTTTATTCCCATCAAATTTACCCACGTAAAATTGGATTAATACCAAGAAAAATCACAAATTTGTAAACTTGTGATAAATGGAGGGTATTAAACCCCATTCTTGTTTTAACTTTTTGTAGTTTTTGTATTCGGAGTTCTTGTCACCATTAAACCTCGGTCGTACCGGAGCGAATCATTTTATGTGTCAATACAAACTCGGTTTCATTTGTATCGATTCCAATTTGATTTCGTTTTGTTAAAGTTGTAATATTTATACTGATGCCGATTTGAATTTCGCAACATGTTCTAGATGCGAGCCTCTACAGTAAGACTCGGATCTTTATGAATTTGAATTGAACTCAAATTGGCGTTTCACAGTCGTCTATAAGGATTGAAATCCGCCTAAAGCAAATCGAAGTATATGAAAATGGTTTTTGCGATATTTGTGAAAGCAAAAGAGGCGTCATACTGCAGAAGTAAATAGTTCTACTTTTAGAAATAGCATTCGATGCCCATAGACAACGTTTTGACTGTGCAGAAAGTAGCCATGACGGTCAAAGGTGGTCAGAACAATGGATCTTTGACTAGGAAAGCTTCCGACGGATACTTTGAAGCTCTATTTAAACAGATCAAAGTGGCTTGTGAATTGGCGAAGTTTAAGAACTCTCTTTCTCTCTCTCTCTCGCATCACCTTTTCCAAAGTGGAAATACTTGTCTCAATCTAATTCCCCCGTACCTCGCGTGACAACTTGTAATTTGGAAAGAAAGTAATATAATATCGTGAGAGGTGCTTCAGTTTGTAGAAGCAACTAATGAAACTTTATGTAAGAGTAACACTTTTTACTAGTTATAATATGGGTTAATACCACGAAAAATCCCAAGAGTACACATACGATAAATTTACCCTGAACTAATTTTTTGATCACTAAAAACCTCAAATTGGTACATACTGACAAATTTATCATAAATCAATTTTGTGACCATAAAAAATCTCAAACTGCTATACTTGTGACAAATTTACTCGAGTAAAATTGGATTAATATCATGAAAAATCACAAATTTGTAAACTTGTGACAAATGGAGAGGTAAAACCCCAAACTAGTATATCCATAAACTTTTACGTGTCATCAAACTCGGCAATTTGACAGTAAAATTTAACGGAAATTAACGGAGGGTAGATTTGCCACAAGTATATCAGTTTGGGGTTTTTGGTGGTCAAAAATTAGTTTAGAGTAAATTTGTCACAGGTGTATCGATTTGGGACTTTTGGTGGTATTAATCCTTGGGTTTTATCCCTCCATTTGTCACGAGGTTTACAAATTTGTGATTTTTCGTAGTATTAATCCAATTTTACGGGGTAAATTTATCATAAGTGTATCAATTTGGGGTTTTTGGTAGTCAAAAACTAGGTTTATGGTAAATTTATCACGGGTGTACCGGTTTAGGGTTTTTGGTAGTCAAAAAATTATTTTGGAGTAAATTTGTCACATTTGTATCAATTTGAGATTTTTGGTGGTATTAACCCTTACAACATCTCAAGGATTATATAGTGGATTCTAGCCTTGTCGAGACTATTAGAACTTGGAGAGTCGAGCTTATAAATCCGATTTGTATCTTTTCTATCTCTTTAACTCCTTCAATATCTATTTGATAGAAAATTCTGCTTCTGCATAAATGTTTTTAGTTTCAACAGCACCTTCTACACGCTTATCGTCCCTTCTGTTTCCTCAAAACAACCAATGCACCTTACTCTTAGTTGTTGCGCCTAGTTAACTTCAATAGAGAGAAAGTAAAGAATTGAAAGAGGACCAAAACAGGGGGAGAGATGTTCTCGTCAAAGGCCGAGTCCGCAGAATGGATCGGTTAATTTACTCGACTCCGTGGTTGCCCGGCTATGATAGTCCGGTTGCCAGGACCGAGCACCCCGACTGACAACCCGACCCTTGTTCGGTGGCCGCCCGGCCCTATCTTCCTACTAGCACAAGGGCTCCAAAACTTGTGTGAAACTCGTAAAAATCACAACAAACAGATTTTTAAGTAATATATTAAGTGCGCATGATTAGTTAATCGAGTCTTGTATTTATCATAATTCAATTAGGGTCAGCACCCGCTGTCTCTGCCTCCCTATCGAGTTTCTGTATCAATATGTTTGAAAAAAGGTGCTAAATCAACTCCATTTTAAAGGCAGGACGTACTGATGATCATGAATTGCAAGTTCACTGCTGTGTGATGGACACCAAGACAACCGCAAGAATGCACTAATCACTCAGTAATTTCGACTTTCACAACGTCATGGTCCATGGCAACAAGTTCGACAAGCACAGCCCCGAATGTGCTAGCGAGAAGTTAAAGCAGCACTCAATGCTCTCCATTCTTCCACCATTGAGATCGAATTCATGATCGACGGCGATTGGGTGCTGGGCGAGTGTGGCAATCGGACTCGAATAGCTAGTGAGGTGAAGGGGTTCTTCCTTTCGGGAGGGTTCATTCATCTTCTTCAAAATCCAAGAGAAAATCCGTAAGATTCTCGGAATCATCTACGGCATCTTCCAACGACATACGACCGTCCTTTTTCGGCTTATTGTCCTGCAATTCATAGCATGAACAGAACAAAAAAAGATGCGCGTCACCCCAACTGTGGAAGAACTCTGAGCCCAAGCAAAAAACTTGAGATGCAAAATGTTCTCGGAGGCAAATGCTGCTATGGGAAGAAGAAAGTCTAACAATCGTGAACACGAAGCGACAAGTAGATGCTGGATTTCAACCCGCCAAAGAGCCGTTGATTGTAGGAATAATGCAAGAGAGCATATGTGACAATTACCTTCGACTTGCGGAGCTCGGGGGTGCTTTTCAAAACGCTCCAGTTGCGCGTTATTTTCTCCCGCTCTTCCTCACCCTCGATCTCACTGTCTTCTCCTTCCTGCATGATAAAGAGCCCAACAATGAATCAGATCACATCAGAAAGTCTGGAATAGTGCATTACTCGTTGAGGTGTGTTAAGGAGAGAGACTTACATCATTTTCCCCAATGTCAACAGCTCGTGCCATTGCTTCGTCCATGTCTGTTATCTGCATTGATCACAAAAATCAGGGGTTAGAAATTTGCATTATTAGCTCTTTTCATAATTATCCCACTATTTCCCAGGTAATTCTATTAGCAAAGACTAAGCCTTCGAAGACTTGTAATTAGTTGATCTTAACCGAATAAAAAAGAAATGGCAAAAGGACACTATAAATGCCATAACTTGTGTACGGAGATCACTTTGGTGGCATAACTTTTTTCGGATCACTTTGGTGCCAAGTCGGAGGAAAAACGATCACTTAAGTGTCATAAGTTTTTTGGATCACTTCGGTGCTAAAATTTTGAAAAACGATCACTTAAGTGCTAAAATTTTTAAAAACGATCATTTAAGTGCTAAAATTTTTGAAAAACGATCACTTAAGTGCCAATCTCCGGCGAGCCACGTCGGCTTTAGAAATTAATAAAAAAAATGCCACGTCGGATTTCCGGCGAAAAATTGTGTACGGCACCGGAGTTGGCACTTAAGTGATCGTTTTCAAAAATTTTAGCACTAAAGTGATCCAAAAAAAACTTATGGCACCAAAGTGAGCGCCGTACACAAGTTATGGCACTTGTAATGTTCTTTTGCCAAAAAGAAATATTTGAAGAGTCCAATCCTAAAACAGGTAAGAGGAGTTGGTCTACGCAGTCCTAGAAGAAACATTTCTCACATATCAACAAACAGGGCAGCTGTTAATACCAAGGACTCGAGACTAGTTCCATCTGGAACAAAATCTAGTTCTAACTGATTTTAGGCTTGTCCTTTTTCATGATAGGGCTTCTCTTTGGTTCTCAATTACAAGTTCTCAACAAAAGTGCCTCGTATATTTGCATGAGAGTTCAAGTCTTCAAGCAAACATTCCCTCACTCAACCAATGCGTCTCACTTTTCTTCCGCCAAAACAATTCGAAAACCAAGTTGGCGCTATAACATGATTTGCAAGAATCTTAATCTTTCTTCTTGGTTCTGGTTGTTCAAGCCATTTTATTAAGCAGAGTTGAGAGGGAGAGTTAAAAAAAAAAACTTGAGAGCAGGAGTCGCAAAAGAAGCATATGAATATAACCTTCAAAAAGTAGGTTTGCAATGGACAAAACGGTAGGAAAAAGTACTCATAAGTCATGACGCATTAAAGAGGTAATTCATAATCGATGGTAAATCACCTCAATTTCCTGCGTTTTCTCCTTTGCCAGAATTTCCTCAATCTCCTCCCTTGATATTATCTTGCCTCGCTGATCAAAGATAAGGAAGTCAAGGGCTGGAATTCAATTTGCAAAAGATGCTACAACTAATATTGGACTTCGATGCTAATATCAGGGAATTAAAGGATGTGCAAAAAGCAGTAACAGCAAATCGATTTGCATGCGTTGCATCTTTGCAGACTTCATAACTAACAGATCATTTAGCTTATTGGATGCTTGTACAGATATTACTTCCCTACTAAGCAAGTAAGCCAGAAGCTGCAAAGTAATTCTGTGGAGACCAACATATTCTTCCATAACAAAGATGGGAAGAATCTGGTGAACTTATATTGATGTAAAACATAATTAGAAGGAATAATAGTGATAAAATGATGAGAAGGAAAGCAACAATTAAAGAAGCCTAGCTGATCTTGGTTCTCTGAATCAAGTTAGAATAATAAATTATCTCTTATTATCAACTTATTACCGGGCAACGATGCTTTCATCAGAAGATCCACAAGTCACTTGCTAGTAAAAGCATACTCGATCTCCATTTTGGGCATTATGATTATTTTGCACATCATACCAGGACAAGAAAGAAAAAAGAAACTATTACGTTGTACTAACCTCCTTCAGATGAGCCAACATATTGGGAGTTGGTTCGTGAAAATCTGGACCTCTGTAATCAATAATTTCATTCGGATCCTGAATATAATTTATGGTAGGATATACTGGATCTCCACCCCAAACTGCAACAGTTAATAGGATTTCAACAACCAGCATGAAGCCACGAAAAAAAAGAGAAATGAAGAGAACAATACTCTCGTCTCATCCTATGACATGACTAAGATGAATGACATGAGATGAATGGTGTTTCACAAGATGTAATGTTAAACAATGGGCTTTTGCCTAAAGCAATAAACCAATTTAGTCAGTCAAGGAAGTATTGAACAAGGACAGGATGATGTTGATTACCCACGAGCAACGGAAAAGAAATAAACAGTTGCGCATGACTGTAGCAGCACAAAAGGAGGCACGCCTTATAACCTTTCAGTTCTAGGACCTCATTATCGAATGAAAACTATAAACATGGTATGTAAAAAGTTGAATGAAAAAAAGAAAAGAAAAGGAACTCAATAAACTTACTTTGTTTGACTTGATCCTCTTTCATACGCATTGCAAGAGGATCCCTCCGAATGCGTATATCAGTACCCATCATAATACGATACTCTCGATCAGTCTGGTGCTGAAACATTTCAATAAGTTGAGTGTTTTCATCTTCACCAGTTTCTTCAAAATGCCTTTGAACGGCTTCGCGCGAAGTGTCTCTCTTCCATGCTGATACCCATTCTGAGTAGTACGCTAACGGACCTATTTCTTCCAGTCTATCCTGTTCAGCTTGAAGCCTATATTCGTAATAAACATTTCTTAAGACTCTAGACACAAAATCAGTGAAGTGCCACTAAGAAGCAAGGAGAACGATGAACAAGGCAATCTAAGGAATTTCACACGTGGTTTGCCTAGGAATCAAGCACAAGGGTCAAAAGCACGAATTCCGCCCAAAATGGGGATGGGTTAGGGTCCACATATAAGAAGGTACTTATAGATGAACTGGAGTTAAAATTTTACAGAAATCCGAAAATTCAATGCAGCTCTCACATGATAATGATTAATTCATAATCTAGTTAAATATGAAACTGACAAACTCAAGGACGTAGAAGTGCTTATAAGTCGATGATGAATTAGCACCAATCCATAGTAGCATAAGAAGAGCTATCAACTATAGCCACTTCCAATAGTTTGCATAATGGCTTTTTGTTATGGACTGAATTCTCACCGTTTAGGAATGAGAACTGAGAATAGATGAAAAGGATTTCTCATCAAGAAAATCAAGTAGCTGTATGTTAAAAGGGAAAATTGTCTCATGTAATGCAGTCTCCTGATCTAAAATACAAATGGACCTGGACACTCGCGCAACAAAACTTAGAACCTACAGATGCCACTGTCCACAAAGACAGAACCAGATGGAGCACCCATATCAGCACATATTGCAGAAGTAATTAACCATATGATATTCTAAACATGCATGCCTTTCTTCCTTGAATAGATGCCGTCTAGCTCTATATAAAGATGTTTCAGTCAATGTTGGATGATCCCCGTAAAGCTTTACTTGTCCAGTCTCTGCCATCGCTTTTAGGAAAACCTGCAAAACAGCATGTCCTATGATATGTGCAAACCATGCACTTGCTCCGAATCAATCACGTGTAATATAAAGCAAGTGGAATCCAAACTAGGTATCACATAATATCAATGTCGTAAATTTAAGCTTCATAGACGATCAGGTTTCATAGTGACTTTCTTTTTGTGATTGGTAAGTCTGATATATGGCAACTAAATTATAATTCCAGAAATCAGCTCTATACGCGTGATATTACTCAAAAGAATATATGCAAGCTCTTACTATCCAAATAAATAATATGGTTGAAATAGAAACAACATTTGCCATGAAACCTCTTACAGCATCAAGTGACATCAATTGGTTTTCTTCATTTCCCCTATATCAATACTGACCGTTTCAACATCAGGTCGCCTCCTTTGCCATCTAGACCACTGTTCCTTATCTGGCTTCCTCCAGTTCCACCATAATTCTTCACTTGTAAGTGGCTCCTCTATCGGCTTCTTCACTTTCGGATCGATAAAAGGGTGGGGACGCCCTAGCTTTTTGTCCAAATCATATCCAGTCTCTTCTTCCTCAGGTTCTGTTTGATAAACCACATACTCGGATGAGCTATCTTTATGCTCCTCTATAGCATCAGCAGAAGTTCCAGGTGTCTCCGAGTCAGACAGTAGGAGATCGGTCTGAGATGATCCAGATGCAGCTTCTGGGACAAGTAAATCATTTGATTGCGAACTGACTCCAGCAGACTCAGAAGCAGCAACTGATGTTTTGTATTTCTTCCTCCTGCTTCCTGGACTTTTGCCATAAGATGGAGAGCCTAAAGATTTTCCAGTTGGTTCGGGAGCCCTTGCAGCCCTTACACGGCTAGCAGTTCCTTCTGGCCAGTACTCCTCTCCAGGGATAGCAGCACGCGCACCAGAAGCTGGTTCAAGCTGCCCAGATGTGGAGTCAAGGTAACTATAGTATGGAGGACGCTCGATGGATACATCTTCAAACTCATCCTTCTCGCACTTTACACAAGGTACTGAAGGCCTCTGCCTAAGAGAACTATTTGAGCCAACTCTAACTTGTGCAACTCTGGCAGGAAATGAGCCCAGAAATGATGTCTACACAGTTTGGGAGGGAAGAAACAATTAGCAATCACATCGAACATGAAGGATTATGATGTCATGAAGGTAATGAGGCACATCTGGCATTGCACTATAAAACTAAATTACCATATGCTGCATTGATAGTTGGACATTACAGACATTGGACCATGATTAGTCTCTACATTCAGAGATCAGCAAAGTTAACTTACATGACATGAAACCCATGTGCGTGCACTGGTTTCGATATAATCAATGATCCAAATGAAGTGACATGTTCAAAAGTTCTGCAAAAACTTCTTTTCAGTGATTTGTTAAATAATACTTGGAGGAATACTCTGGAGAATAGATCTCAGCAGCACATTGATTTTCAGAATCCAAATGACCAATGCCGGCATCATATTTGCACAGAGAATGTCATTAGAACGAGTATAGATAGGAAATTTTTTACGTTCCTTTTAGAATTGTTTCGAGTTACAACACACTAAGCACAGTATGATGCTCAAAGTCTACATTCTACAGTGACATGATTTCTGAATATTCCTAAGACATCACTTTCATATACAAGAACCATACTTCTCTGTTGATGGGTTTCATACTCTTCTGACATGCAATAACTTCAATAGCTTTGATGCCTTAATTTTAGCAATCATCTCTTGAGCATTCTCGGTTCAGTAGTGGAAATGGCCCGCAATTGTCCTCCTTGTTATAAGGCATCGATGTAGCTAGGAAGATATTGCATGGTAGTTCAATTAGAGAAAGGAATTTGCTCATTAAAGTGGATGTGCTGTAGCAAAAAACATATTGATATTCAACATGCACACTGACTGTATCATCTATAAGAAGATAGGTAAGCGTTTCACTCTATTGGTAGAAACTATATCGATCATCTTTTCTCTGTGCTTCAGACTCAGCTGAAAAAGACATGAAGATTCTCAATTTCAAGCTCGAAAGATTATTTATGACGCTCAACTTCAGTCTCAAGCGCATGTACACATGTCAATGCCGGACTAAACAACCCAAAACTCAATTCTAATCACATTCTGCATCAGCCTCCCACAAAAGATAAACATTAAATTCCTGCACCAGTCATGCTAACTGAGAGGAACCTCAGAAAAGGTGGAAAATAATCCTAACTAGAGAAACTGATTTAAACAGGAGAAAGCGCGTCTAGGTCTTTAGTTTTGCCAGAGAAATGAACTGACATATCCAGAGAATATACCCCGATTCAAATCTTTTCAGGGTTTACTCCTTAGCTCCTAGATGTTCTAAAGCCCATTATGCAGATTTTCGTTCTTCTTCCTTGAACTACAGCCACCGATGATTGAAGATACAAAGAAATGAGCATAACTGAGAGAATGTAAAGCAATTTGTGAATTTGAGCTCTAGAACAAGTGCCAGCATCAACAACTTCCGTGAAATGCTACTCACGAACAGAGAATACACTAACTAAATTGTATAACCTGACAAGTGCAAAAACTTCCTTTCTTTTCCTTATATGAACAGACCTGCAAGTAATTGGAATTTGGCTTCCCGGGATCATTACCATCAGCTTTGACCGCGCACCTCAATCCGCTACCTGCGACAACTAAATCATCAGCTTAGAGAATCAAGAACCAGATAACATTGTCCCGGACCAATAGAAAAAAAACCCATTTTTTTTCTCGGAAAAAGGCAAAAACGAAAAACCCAACAAAACACAAGAGACCCGCATGAGACCAATGTGGAAAAGCCTCTCTCACACCAGCAGAAAACACAAACCTCAGACGAACATCGAAACTACGAAAGAGACCAAGACAACCCCGGAATCGTCGATACGAATTCACAGCACGAACCCACCTCGAGACACACTTGTCAATCTAGTCTGGCATTGTTGAAATGCGCCAAGCGGGGGGAAGCAAGAAAGAAGGAAAGACCAGAGCTTTACCCAAACACGACCCGGTGGTGGTCGACAAAGAAGCCATCCCACGACGAACGGAGGACGGCCCTCGTTTCCTCGCGTCGCAAGACCTTCAGATTGTCAAGAGCTTGGATGGGGAATTCCTCTTCGGGTTGTCATTTCTCGCTCCGAACTGGATAAAGCTTCTCGAGGGTATTGAGGGTCGAGACGAGTATAGTTCGGAGATGCTGAAGTTCGGCATGAACAAAAGGAGAGAGCGTGCACTGCTTCGGCTTGTACAGCCGACTTTCGCAAGTTAAAGTCCCAGATAAGAGTTTATCCATCATAATAATAATAATATAAGGGGAAAAAGAAAAATGAAAACCCGAATAAGAAAAAATGATACAAACGAATCCTGAACTTTGACAATTCAAGTTCGGGGACCATATTGAACATTTTCATATAGTTCAGGGACTACATTAAACATGTACCAAAATTCAGGGACCGCATTGAACAAATTAAAAGTTTAGGGACCATGTTGAATATTAGGCTAAGGTTCATGGACTACATTGAGTAAATTAAAAGTTCATGACATATTTGATCAAAATTCAGAAGTTGTTTGTGTCATTATCCCCCAAATAAAGTTCCGTGAGCCTTCGGAGTTTCTAATTTTCCTTTTCATTATTATCGGTAAAAATTTTTACATATATAATATTAGAAAATATTAAGTAAAACATTTATCAAATTAGATAGGTAAAATGTGATATGAAATTATAATCTTAATATTAACCGGAATAGACCTATAATAGAGTAATCAAAGAAGTGTCTTCGAATACTATTAATTTGTTCGCATATTCAATTCTATTTTCATTCTAAAACATGTGGATTTCAGTATCATATTCTCTAAACGAAATTTTATCTTAATCTCAATGGTTAACTTAAGACTTGTGACTATATGTTCTTGTCCGTCATTTAAATTCTCCCTTACTTGATTTTTTACAAAAAGGATTTGATTTAAATGACATAAACTATACTTATAATAAGTTACTTTTAAAGATGGATATAAAACTAAATGAAATGAAAATATGTATACTTGAAGTTTTGCTAAAGTAAATAAACTACATCATTTACTTCATTCTTAGTTAGATATAATCGGTTGAATTAAATAATATTATAAAATCTAGTGGCACTTTTCTAACTTTAGTTAATTGCTCAATTAGACATTTATGCAAACCACTGTATGCTAGATGTAATGTCAGAGGTGCTAAGCATACTTTATGCATGATAATATATAACTCGCGAAAAACCTGTTTTGACATGTTAATGATGTTTAATTTTAATTTTAATATGAAATCTTATTTCCATGTAACATAATAATTGCAAATGTAATAAATAGGAGGGATATTTAGGATGTTACACGGACTGAGCGAGCTTCTAGTCGAGTAGGAGTTGGGATCTTTGGTTTTGTTCTTGGGTTCGTTTGCATCTGAGCTTTTCTTGGCCGAAGAAACATGTGCTTTTGGTGGAATTAGACGCTTTCGAGTGCATGTTCAGTTTTCTGAGTCTCAAGGTTGAGTTTCGGGAGCACTTTGCTCGGCATCGGCGGCCTCGCGGTGGTCGGGCACCCGCCAAGAGGTCGCGAAATCATATCTACATAGAGAGAGCGAAACGGAGATGGAGAACAAGTGTTTGTGACATCGCTCGGGGACCACCACACCAATGATCACCTCCTACAGACCATGATGATGCATGGCAGCCATAGCCACCGCGCTGAGCTCCGATTTTGCTAGGTGATCGCAACCACCGCGAGGTGGTGGCATCCCCAGGCATAAGAACGATGGCCTCCTACTGACAATGATGGCTCTACTAGTGGTCAAGCAAGGGTTGACGACGGTGCGGCGGCATGCCACCGGAGGTCCAAGCGGCAATGGGCAGCAATGGACGAGAGCACTCGAGGAGCTTTAGCCAAGTGATGGAAAGTTTGAAGATGATGGACAGTAAAAGGAGCTTGTGTGTGGAAATAAGAAACACTTCACTTGTTGTACTCTTAGGGATAAGTGATCCTCTTTCGATAATTCGTCTAATCCAAGGACAGTTATCATGTCCTTGGTGGTTCTAAGTCGATGTGTTGAGAGATTGAGAGTAAGGCCACGTAAAAGGAACCACCGGACTGAGAACTACCCGGATCGGCCGAATCTGGGTAGTTCCTGAGGGCACCGGTCTGGTTCCATAAAATTGGAACCGGTGAATTTCGATTTGGTTCCGAACCGCCGACCCGGACCACCTGGATCAGACCGGTTTTTTTTAAAATATGTAAAAGAAACCCTAATCTACTCTCATTTCACAAATAAAGGCCCTTCAACGCTGAAACTACCACATTTTATTTATGCACGTGAGTAAAATGACAAGAACAAATCAAAATATAACTTTAGTTGCTCATTCCAACCAAATTTTGTCACAAATTGGAAAAATTTCTATGACACCTATAATATTACACGTAACTCACTGGTTGTAGGAACACTTTAATTATCAAGAATATATTTAATTTCATCTTGAACATTAACGACAAATAAAAAAAAAAGAATATACTATCGGTTCCATTGGCCCGAGGACTGAACCAATTGGTTCGGTCCTAGGGGATACCGGTCTGGTTTTCGGTTTCTCCGATTCCTGGTTCCAGGAACCCGGAACCGATTTCTCTGGTCTGGGCGAGAACCGATCACTCAGAGAGGTTTTTGGAAGACGTGAGCATACCTTTTGGTCTTCACCATGCCTAGCATTTGCAGTGCATTTGGGATAGGGAATCAAGATAAGGGCCCAACGTATGGCCTCTTGGTGAGCCTTTCACCTATTTTGGACGTTAAATGGGTCCAATGGGCCTAAAATCTCGAGCCCGTTTATATGAGCTGGTGTAATTTCGGCCACCCCACCTTTAAGCCTAATAAGCGACCGGTCGGTCTCAGCTCCAATTCATGCGTATGCATTATGCCTACGGGGATTTCACGATTTCCACATTGATTTGTACTGTAACTTTGGATGGTACCCTCAATCATGTGCTATAACTTCATGAAAAGAGGTTAGTTAGAAATGTGCATCGAACCGTAGCTTCGACATGTGCTTCGCGAGACATCTTGCGTTAGGTGCGCCGGTGCGCCTCAAAGGACATCGCGCATTTAGTGCACCCTGTAGGAAGACTTGTACTCAACAAGTCCCGTAGGACCAGTCGTGGGACATCCTTTATCAATGAGCCCGGAATGGGGGTGGTAGCAGTACAAAGTTTTGCTCAAAGCTTTCCTACATTGATAAATCGGGGGAAGAACAGTATTGGTGCCAAAACTTGTGTACGGAGGTCACTTTGGTGTCAAAAGTTTCATTTGGATCACTTAAGTGCCAAAAGTTTACGCCGGCGATCACTTAAGTACCAAATCGGAGAAAAAACGATCACTTAAGTGCTAACGGCGAGAAATTCCGACCAAATTTAATACGTGGCTTTTATATTTAAATTTTAATGACACATGGCATTTTCATGTGTATAATTCAATTTTTAAATACTTTTTCTGATTTTTTTTCTTTCTTTTCTTTTTCTTTTTCATTTCGTCTTCTTCTTCTTCTACTGGCCAACTCGGCCATGGTCGGTGGCGGCGTCGCCTTCCTCGGGCAAGGCCCGTGAGGCGGCCGTGGCCTCGGCGGGCCGGCCTCGCCGGATCCGCAGGCGAGCCTCGCGGGGCTCGCCCGCCCGGCGAGGGTCGAGATCGCCCTGGGCGGCGAGCCCGGCGAGGCTCGCCTCGCCAAATCTAGCGAGGCCGGCTCGCGAGGCCACGCCGCCTCGCCGGAGGAAGGCGACGCCCGGCGAGGCGCCGTGGCCTGCGAGGGCCTCGCCGGGCTTGCCCCGCCCGGGCGACCTCGCCCTCGCCAGGCGGGCGAGCCCGGCGAGGGCTCGCCTCGCGGATCCGGCTAGGCCGGCCCTCGCCGAGGCCACGGCGGCCTCGCCCGGAGGAAGGCGACACCCGGCGAGGCCGGCCATGGCCGGTGGCCGGTGGCCGGACGCCGGCCATCGGAAATAAGAAGAAAGAAAAGAAAAAAAAAAGAAAGAAAGGAAAAAAGAAAGAAAAAAAAAAAAAAAAAGAAAAGAAATGCCACATCAGCCTCCGACGAGCCACATTAGCCTCCGGCGAGCCACATCAGCTTGAGAAATTAATAAAAAAAATGCCACGTCGGATTTTCCGGCAAAGTGACACTTAAGTGATCGTTTTTCACAACTTTTAGCACTTAAGTGATCCAGGTTGAACCACGGCTTTAGCAGGCTTGCGCTCTTGTCCCCCACGGGGATCGAGTTCGAACCTAGTCGTTAGGGATTCTTAAGTGTGGCGCCGTGGTGGTGGGTTTAGATCACCCGTTTACCCCTTGTCGGCCGTGCGGTCCGGTCATCAAAAAAAGTGATCCGATTGAAACTTTTGGCACCAAAGTGGCCTCCGTACACAAGTTTTGGCACCAATGCTGTTCTTCCCCCTTGATAAATCTCTATAGGAGCTCGTTAGTCAAAGGATTCTTGTTTCGAAACAACAATGATGATGCGCTTGTACGGGGTTTATCCCCTAATTGTTAGGTGACTCCACCATTTGTCTATCTCATTTCCATTCGATGCAAGTTCCATTCCCTTAATTACATCCACAATATCATAACCCTTCCGAGTAAAGTGGGGCCTTTTTAACTATCGCCATTTTCTTCATCGATTTTGTGACGACGATGATAGATAGAGATTGTTTCGAGAGTCCCTATTTCCTACTTGATTGTAATTTTTCTTGGTCATCATTGTTGTACTGAACATCGATAATTAAGTAGTTTCCGACTGGAAAAAGCCTCGATAAAATTCGATAGAACCTAGTAGCAAACGCCCTTTGAAGTAGAAATGTTGAAATTGTGCGTCAATAGACGCCAACCCGTTTGGATCCTTCATCTTCGTCGCTCGTGTTTGGTGTAAAGCACATCACATCTCCAAAATAAACAAATTACATAATTTTTTTTTGGTCAAACAAAATTTCATTGAATCTGAAAGTACTTCAAACACCAAAGCCCCCGTTAGGGGCATCAAAACAAAGTAGATCCCAAAAAGATTGGGGAGATTGGGATATCCAATTCGAGGATAGATTGTTTTGTTTATGGGCTTTACAAATCCAGTCCGCCACACTATTAGACTCTCTTGTGCAGTGGGCTAGAGGAATGTTCTTGAACTGGCCCATGACCCTGCGAGCTTCCACGATAAGGGCATGAGCTTCCCCGTTACCTTGATCTGAGCTGTTAATCACGT